AGAGAGAGAGAGAGAGAGAGAGAGAGAGAGAAACTTAGCTATTTTGTATAAAACTTGAATCAACAAACAATGTTGGGGAAAAACCTGATTTGTCACTTTTACGGAGAATTTGTGCCGACAGCGGTTTGATAGGAAGAAACGTGCGTTTTTTGTTAATGCTCACGAAACTGATTGCATGTCTTCGCGTGCGATCATTGTATTAGAGATCCTGTCGCGTGGCAAAGTGAAGGGGAATCGCGGCCTTGCTGTTTGCAGAGTTACAATGCGCGTCGCGTATGGCAAAATTGCCGCATAATTTCGGCAATCTGCGAGTCAGTTTTCCGACACGTTAACACGCGGGGACATTGTTCGACGAAAGAGAAATCGAAGAAGAAAGCTTTCACGATGACAATGTAACGACGGGCGAATTATTCTCATCGACAAATAATAATATTTTGATAATATTTCATCGTCCTCCATGTTTATGTGTTGGATTCTTCCAACACATTACGTGACGTAAGTACAATACATCTTTTTTTTTAACGAGAATTTAACGCTTAATTAATGCGAGGCGTTATATTCTCGTTAAAAAAATTCTCTTAAGTTCCTAAAGGATAGAAAAATTAAGTTTCACGAGTATAAATCCAAAAATCCTAAAATGTTTTATATATTTTTGATTTTGGAGAAACGTGATATCAAAAGATAGCATTCAATAATTGATGATGTAATTTTTCAAAACAACTCTCCTCGCAAAGAGTTAATTTTCCAATCAATTATTCCTTTCCATTTGCCGATATAATTTGATATCAAAAATATAAAAACCTATAACACAGTAATACATTTAAATAGGAGTGGAAGCTCGACAAGCATAATCACGTGTAAAGATCAACGGTGAGTGTAAAGATTATTTCCAAAAGATTTTCCAAAAGATATCCCTTTTCTCTCTTGAGAAACGACACACTCCAATTTTTGATTCCATCAGATATCACTTATCAAATTTTCACGGAACACCATCTAGCTTTTCTTTCAACTTCAGAAATCAGCTCGTCACAAATTATGAGAAAACAAGTTAGTCGCTCATCAAAACGCGTCTCTCAAAGTGGAGCAAACTAAAACGCGCTATTCGGAATCACGATCCGGGGTCGACAACGATCTCTCGAAAGTTTCCATGACCTCGCGAAATTTTCCGCTTACTAATCCTGCGCGGCGAGGATCGCGAATCTTCGAAAGGAACTCACAGCTTGATCTTCTCGTCATCCATGATCGATCCCGAGGTGGAGCGTTCGCGGTTCCAGCCAGCTCGCGGATCGAGCCGGCGATCGTGCGACGTCGTCGTCGTGTCGGTCTTCCTCCGATGAGATCTGTCCGGCGATTCCTCGTTTTATCGAATGCCAAGTGCCAGAAAAAAAAAGGCAGACGAGATCGTCGGAGGCAGAGGAGTGCGGCGATGGAGGCGGCGGACGGAGGAGGGAGACCCGCGGCGACTGGGTGCGTGCTGTAATCGGCAAACTCGCGTGGACGTCGTCGTGTTGTCGTCCTCCGGACGACCGGATGGACGCGGATCGACTGCACCCGTCACTCCTCCGATGAGGAACGAAAGCGCGGACACGACATGCCACTCTTTCGGTGGAAGAGGGCCCGTGCTCGGCCCGGGCCTGCTCGTCCGACAGATAAAAGATTCAACAGCGATCTCTCCCTCTCGTGCACGCGCTCTCTTTCTCTCTCTCTCTTTCTATCTTTCTCTCTTTTTTTATTTATCTTTCCCTCTCGGTCCCTCTGCCTTTCCTCTCAGTTGGCCTGTCTTTATCGCGGATCCCCACCCGTCGTTTCTCTCGCTCCCTTTCTATCTATTATCTCCGTCTCCGTCTCTTTCTTCTATCTCCATTGGGAGAAGATACGTCTCCGTCGTAATCGGGTCTTCGTCCCACACGTCTCGACGTTCACAAAGTACACAGATCGTTTTTTTTTATTTTTTTTAATTTTTTTAGCAAGCCGTAAAGCCAAGTGTCTTTGAACTCGTCTGGGAGAAACCGCCGAGGAAAAAGTGGCTCCGCCTCGAATCGCCGATCGAATTAGTTGCTTTTTAGGCGAAGATATTTCTTCTTCTTCGTCGCGTGCATTGCTCAATCAGTTAAGACTTCTTAACATCCTGTTGTTGGATTACGTGTACCACTGACCGCCGCGGAAATACGGCGTGTCCCGAGAGTTTGGCGGTTCCGCGCGTTCATTTCGTCAACAGGTGCTTTCACAAGTCAAATCCGGTTTATTGCATGTCCGCAACGGATTTAACAGTCGCGCGTATAATAATTCGCGAGATTTATCGGCGAGCGCGTGGTCGATCGTCGCCGTGGTTTATCCCTCTCTCGTACACCGACGTCTTCGACAGTAATCGTGCTCACTCCAACACCCGTCTTATCACTCTCGCTCGAGAGTCTCGAACGAGACACCGCGGAACCGAGATAGCGCGATTCTCCACCTGGCGAACTTCCAAAGGCAGGATCGACGATCGCTTTTTGCGGGAAATTTCGTCGACTTCGACCTCGGAGTCAACAAACAAAAGGAAGATATTCCTCGATTCTAGGGGGATGTGTGTTTCTCTTCCCTAAAAACCTCACCGATATGGATCGGTAGCGGGAAGATCCGGAGTTGATCCCGTTGGATGACGCGGATCTGAGCGAAAGTTTACCGTGCGACCGTCCGTCGATCACGCGGTGGATCACACCGTGGATCGTGGATCGAGACTGAGCGAATGGCGAAGGTAGAATAAACACGCAGGCACGTTCACGTAACTTTCCACATCTAGGGAGGCACCGTGAGGCGCACGTGATGCACGAACGATTCAGAGATCGCGTCGAGCGCGCGTGCCGATTGCGCGAGGAAGTGGATTTCGTAACGGGGCACTTCCTGCGATCGTGTCACACTTCGACTATGAGTTAGATAGATTTCGACGATCGACCGAGGATACCTTGTCGAAAGCTCGGATACTTTCGAAAGAGATATAACTGCACGGAGAAACAATACACGAGAGATTTGCATGTATAAATAAGCATGATAAGTAAATTTAAAGAGCTTCAAACACTCCTGAGAGGCAAATATCTCTTCTTGTTAAACTCGTAAATAGTTAAAATAAAATTAAGCTAAAGAAAAATGATAATAAAATAAATTAAAATATTAAACAGTAAATTAAGTAATAAAGTAAACAAATTAACAAATTTATCGGTGTCAAAAATGTTTATCTAATTTTCAATTTTAGTTTAATAACAAAAGAAACACAATTCTTATGTATTTTCTTTCTCTTTCTCTCTTTGTTGAAAATTAAAATAAATTAAAATAAAGAAAAAAAACGATAATGAAGTAAATTAAAACAAATTTAATAGTGTTAAAAAACGTTTGTCTGTTTTTTTCTTTTTCTTTAAGTGTTAGTTTTAGTTTTAGTTACGTGACAAAATTATTTAATTAAACTTTGTATAAAAATCAGCTATTCGTAACGATGTGATAAAATATTAAAGATTGCCTATTACGCCATATTTGTTTTTAAATGCCAATAGTCAGCTGTTATGATTTGCATCGCACATCATGGATCAATGATGCGCAATGCAAATATATGTTGCGAGATACCCGAGTAAAACAAATGTAACGCGAGGAGCTGAGGATACTTATAAATTATCTCTAAACAAACTGGGTCTTGCTATCGGTAGCTTAAACACGACACAGAAAATTCAACATGATGCAACGCGGAAATTCACTCTAAATCGTACGCCCATTAAATTAATCCAGAATCTCCGTAATATTCTGAAATTACAAGCAGCAATTGAAATCGATTAGAATTAAATCCGGACCATTCGCCGAGATAAAATTTAGCAAGCCTGGAGGAAATAATAATAGCGATTCTTTTTTACACATCGCGAGAAATCTGAAAGCGAGAAGTGCAAGAGCAATTCTGAATTTTTTTGTTATTTACTCATCGACAATGCAGCCGAAGTTCATCCTCGCGGTGGTCGGCATTGGTGGTGCTCGAATCAAGACTATCGGCTCCTACCTGATGCGATGATGTTTTGTAACTCGTTCGGCATATCGCGAGAACGAGGGGTAGGGTTTCGTGTAAAACAATTGGATACTTGGGGGGGTTGCATTTTTACGTTTACTCGGAAACGTGATCCGGACCGCGAGAAAAAAGATCGTGGAAGTGTTGAAAATAATTATACGTATCGTTGGATGACCTCCGTCTATCTATCAAAAACCACGTGTACAAATGCCGTAGAACCGATGACAAAAAAGCGTAAATGGCCGTAGGATTTTTAATGATTGCCGTGTCCCTGGTGCAAATAGTTTAATGCGCAATTCTATCTTTTTTGAGGAATTGTATTGCAATTGCTGTAATGTCGACCGAAATCATAAAATTCATTGGTGACAACTTTCTGTGACGACACAATTTTCGAGAAAAATAATTCTATATTTTTGTTACTTTCAAGGTGGTGTGTTTGGTCGATAACATGCTATCGCAATGGATTTCAAATTATAGATAAGCTATGCAATTTGATGCAAATTTATAAAGTAACAAAGTAAAAATGTGAACAATTTCTACAATAAACTACAATAAATTTATTCAAAACAGATTTTAAACCTTCCAAATCGGAAATTAATTTAAATATTTTTGTACTCTTTGTTTATTTCATTTTCTGTTTATCCTTTGCCGAAATATCGTTTTAAATAAATTATTTAAACTTGCGGTTGAGCCGCACGTGTCTAAACTATCTAAATGAAAATTTTACTGCGAAGCATGTAAAAATAAGAAATATACGTTTCTCCCAGCGCGATTGTCAGATACTCGGCGAAAGAACTTGACGACGAAGACACGTGTCGTTCTTATTAGGAAGTTCGAAGGTAAGAAAAAAATTCGAGTAACACATCAAAATATTATCAAAACGAGAGACTTACTCGTTGGCTCTGTTGTTTTGCTCGATGACGACGGTAACGATTTCTATATCGGCGGAATGATCTCCACTGTTTTCCATGTCGCTGTGAATTTTCCGGGTGGATCGTCGCCGAGGAGAAGCGCGAACCACGCGGACGCGCGAGCATCGAACAATTGACAGAAGTCGACCGCGCCAAGCGCGACCGCGCAGCCAAAGCAAATCTGCGACAGCGCGGGGTTACTATGCGTCGGGAGATGTCATTAGTGCGTGGCGGTCTGGTTCTCTCTCCTGATGTGTGTTTACATAAATATTATGAAGGCACGAGGAAACGCGCGCACGAGACGACGACCCGGATCGGTTCATCTTCGATATCTTCGCATCTCCACGAGAATCGTCGACAAAAGTCGCTCCTGGATCCGACGTACAGAGATGCGAGATGCGACCAGTTCGCCCTCCTCCGATTTCACGCTACCATCGATCGAAGAATTAAGTGAAACACGATAAGTGACGATAAGCGCACTTTATCGCGTGAAATTATTCCATTTTCTACGACCTCGTATGTCACGGTCGATCCTCGATTAAAAGATGGTGAACGAAATGAATTTCACGTGCCCGTGAATCGTTGATCTCTTATTTCCATTCGACACAATCGAATTCGAGGATCGTTGGATTATTTATGGGATGATTGGGTTACAGAAATGTGTCAAATTTCTTCGCTCGTCTCGCTCCGATTCACTTCACGGCCGCGACGATTAAAATAAATTCCCACGAAAGACACAATTATTATTACCGCATGCAACGATCCGTGCTGAAAAAATATATCGCAAAAACTCGTTATTAATAATAAAATTAAATTTTTGTATCTATGAATAAAAATTCATTTGTCTGTACAGACAAATTTATTTATTTTCAAATGTACCAACATTTTAACTCTGACTAAACTTTGTTTTTCTCTCTCTCTCTCTCTCTCTCTCTCTGTTCATTATAAGGAGGAAATTATATTGAAGATATTTTACAAATGTTACAAGTTTATTTCTTATAACTATTGTAGTAGACAATATTAAATCACAATTGACTTAATAACATGAATAAAATTGTGTGCCCATGAATAATCAGAATACTGTAATCTCAACAATTATTAGTTGGATTTTACTCTTGTTTCATCTTCTGAAATGATTTAATTTCCTATTCAGAAAAATGATATTTTTTTCGAGTCCATGATTTATAATTACATGCAAAGTGTGGATCTAATGAGAATAAGTAACAAAAATCTTCAGCTTTGAATACATCCTTATTTTTGAGTTTTACACGAGCATCGACAAATATTTACACATAAAGTGCCAAACGTTAATTACAAAAGTGAAATATGAAAATTTTTACGTATTTACGACGCTTATTAACCTAAGCGAACAAAGATTTCTTTATACAGAATTTTATAAAATTTTTTTCAACGATCTTAGGGTTTAATATATCCCTCGGGTCGATTTATATAAACGTAATTTACAATTCTTCATGCAGCGAGACAGATTCACCAGTTTCTGAAATAGAGAGAAGAAATAAACATCACATGTATATTTGAAGATGTAGTGCAGGAAACATACCACTATCTTTCTCCGTCTGTCTGTTAGCATTTTCTACCTTTTGCTGCAAAGCTTTAATTTCTTCATCGTAACCCACCCATTCAGGCAAGATTCGCATAGCTGCTTGTAATTTCGCTTCTTTCGTCATCGGATTATTACACTGTAAACGACAAAAAAATTTTAGTTTACTTAATAAATATACAATGTAAAAATATTATAACATATTAAAATATACAATGTAAAAATATAACATATTTATTTTTGAATACATACTAAATCTATAGTTTTGGCATATCGCTTGGATGCATCGTCACACCACGTTTCACACCATAGCCATTCCTGTGGTAGCGTCTTGATGGCCACTTGATGGATCATATTATTCGGGAGGTCCTGGAGTTGTTAATTATTTTATTATTTAATTATTTATGCGAAGAAAACATGACCATTACGATAATACAACAATATAATCTTTTTTATATCCTGATAGATATTTAAATCATTCGTACTTGATCAAGGTTCGCCAAGCTGTTTGGATCTTGACTCAACGCCTGATATTGTCCTCGTAGTCTATCTCCAGCGGCGATACGACGGAATCGTTTGAGATCAACCACGTATAATGCACTAATATGGTAAGCACGACCTTGCAAGTGATTTCTCCAATATCCTTGTTTCCAGAATCTGAAACCATCCATTTCGGTTCTGCTGTCACAGAATGGCGTGTACGCATATGGTGCACCACCGAGATCCAAATTTGCTAATTCCTTTAGATCTGCTCTTACCACCTGCATAAAAATCGCGCGTAAAATAATTAAGAATTAAGATTGTTCTTATTGCTATATTTTAGACAGCTTATCTACCTGATCGGCATCAACGAATATTATTTTCTTAACATTCAAAGGAAATAGTACATCGAGAAACAGGATTTTGTAGCCCCAAATAGTTCTCTGTTTCTCAGTTTGTTGATGAAGCCAGCGAGGCCATTTATATTGAACGAGTTCATATTCAAAGCCGTATTCCTTAGCCATATGTGGCAGAAAATCCTGTCATAAAAAATTTTATTATTTGTTTCCGCGAAAATTTTATAAAACGAAATATCTCTTACTATACATTATAATTACTTACCTTTAATGTTGGTGAAAGATAATTTTTTAAGAACCAGAATTTCACTGGTGTCTTAGTGTGTTTAATAACACTTAGCATCATAATCTTCAAGAATCTTTCATATAAATGGCCAGAGGCAAGAGAGAAGATATTTAATTTTTCATCTTGATCTTCATTTTCATCTGTCGTCGTAAATGTCCTAGTTTTTAAAATAAATCAAAACATATAACACTTATCATAAATCTGAATTGGTAGTTAGCTATTTTATATCAGCCAAAATATCCCAATTAATATAAGCTATATACATTCTCCACGCAGCGATATGTTAATTAAATAGGACAAATCGAAGATAAGAACACATATTGGTGACTTGGGGTTAAAGTAATTAACGTGAATTAATTGATGTAGCGGTTCAAAGTATATTAAGCATTAATAGATTAACTGGATGTTAGAATTTAAAGCCACAAATATGTTCTTCATTGTAATGCATATGTATTTGTGGTTGTATTTTTTTGTAAGATGAGTGTACGTGTACTTAATTATATGCATTATAAAAAATTATGAATGTACTTAACTACATAATAATGAGAAGCTTACCAAAATTTGGCAATGCTAAAAAAGAGAGAACAAATAAAAGTTAAGTTCAAAGGTAACGAAATACCATGCTACACATGTTAAATACTAACACCCAGCATTAGGAGATCATCGAAACATGGAATACGAATAATTTAATCAATCGGATATACCTAGAAATAGAATTCCATAATCCAGAATCCTTTTCATTGTCTGATAAAAGGTCCATTCCTACTTTGTCCGCTTTCTTAGAAACCTTCACTTTCAACACGTGACTCCTCAGTGAACTTATCAGAACTTTTACGTCGTTGCCGTTCTGAATAACATCCTGCCCATCAACAGTAGTAAAGTCATATATCTCTGCGGATCGTCCTTGCCGAAGCCGCAATACCCATTCGCCGGGATTTGCTTTAAGTTGAAAGTATCCTAAGTTGGCCATTACTATAGTATCAACCATTACGGGTTGTCTCTCGGTGCCCAACGTGAACTGAAGGCCTCTTGGTGGATTCCCCATTACTGCTTCAAAACAGTGGCCCTCGAGCAGCAAGTATTCCAACTCGAATTCACTAAGATATAATATAAAGTAAAAAATTAATATAAAATTAAAATTAAAATTAAAGTTTATAACAAGATATATTTTAATATTCTTACCTGTGTACACCCATTGCAACATTATCAAGCTTAATATTATCTAAATCGTAAACACTGCGAACTACCTCCACGAGCCAATTCTCAGGTGCATGAATGTATTGCGTTAATAATGATGAAGTAGGCAGTTTTGTGAACTTTGCGATAGAACCACTGATATCTCCTTCTGCTGTGAACTGCAACTCGGGTTCGAGTACAAATCGATAAAAACTGAAACAAGAAAGAAAAATATCTAATTCACAACACATAAAAAAGAATTTATGAAAAAACTTGAACATTGCCTTACCTCTTCAATGGCATGTCGCTATTCTTGTCTACACAGTTTAAAAATACTTTTATATTGCAGTTTAAAGCTTGTTGTAGCGTTTTTAATATCGGACCCAATTTTTGAGCACCGCGTGAAACTGGATCTACAATGGCAATGAAGTTGAAGGCGACTTCATCGGGATTGGTGGCTGAAATTTTTATGACACTGCAAATGGAAAAATATTCTTGTAATATTCAATGATCAAATACTCAGTGATAAATTTTTATATATGTATAATTTTATATATGCATGAATTATCTAGCTTTTCTCTTATGCATACTTTACAATAAATTATTAATTTTACCTATGATCGTCTCCATGGAAAGGAACATCATACCGACTTCGAGTTTGTGGACGAGGCACCAAAAGTGCAGTAATTTTCATAATCATATCATCAGTAATATCATTCTCTTCTGCATAAAATATCAAAAACATTTAATTATTTTTGTCAAGATTAAAAGAACTATGCGTTTAAAATAATAAATCATAAAATACCATATTCATCTTCGACAAAGATTTGATCTTTTATCAGTTTCATAAATAATTTTTCACCATAGGTACTTTGACTAAACCTTTCTAACAAGGAAAAATCTTCACTTGTAAATTCTTCACCATTATCTAAAGGACCTATAATACGGCCATTGCATAAAACTACTCTTGCTCCCGTTTCTAAGTTTAAAACGGTTTTGGCATAATGTTGATGTAATGATAATATCGAACTTTGATTCTCTAAGACTGCTGCCACAGATTCATCCTACAACAATAAAATTATTAAGAAATTGATTTTCGGCAATATACACGTATCTTACAGATATATACCTTACCTCGATTTCAAAATTACCATCAGCAATAAGAACTGCATTATCCTCTTTGAGAATTTTATGTATATAAAGTATAGCTTTTTCTGGTGATAACGCGCTTAGTGTAGCAAGTGCAATTTTATTAATATCAGATTTTACACTTGCGTCATCTTTTGCATTAATAATAATACTAACCCTCGCATCGGTATTTGATTCCTATAAAAATATATAATTATTATATATATTCCCTTATATGTATGATTTACACATAAAGTATAGTTTTAAATTACATACTACATATTCAAGGGCTTCTCGTAGTAGCTGCCTGCCAGACAATGATTTCAAATCAGCTACAACCCAGAAAGAATATAAATGATGTACGTTGCGACGTGGTACAAAAAAGTAATGCATTTTTTTCATCAAATAAGTTGATAGATCCTGAGGAGCCCATTTAATATAGTCATCATTTTCAGGAATCGTGCCAATTAAATTTAACCATGCATTCTTGTCCATCTTCAAAATACGCTCGTTCAATCTAAAAAGCCAAAATAATTAATGCAATGGAAACTTAAATTTATTATTTCCATTCAAAGAATCATTGATAAGAGTTATAACCGTGGCATAACATTTGGCTGGTTCATGAGAAAATCAACGATATCATCTCCTTCCGTTACTTCGCCTCGATACACTGCTTTTTGCAATGTAGGTGTCTGCGACATAATGGTAGACAACACTGCTTCCTCGTACGATTCAGCATTTATTTGATTGGGCGTCAAAGGTACACCATTCAATAAAGCTTGTGGGAATTTCTTGAAACCGCATCGTTTTACAAAGTCACTAGCTAAATGCCGACCTACATCGTATTCTGACTCCTCACCAAGGATGTAAGATATAGGAGCCGATGAATCTTTAGATTTAATAATTTTTTTTACACCATTTACATCGGCACCATAAGACACAATGTGATTTCCTAACTAAAACAAAAATAAATTTTATTACTCTTTTAAATAATGGCATTACTTTAAATAATAATTAAAGTATTAAATTTGACATTTTACCTCTGACAAAAAATGTAAAGCCACTTTCGGGCTTTTAGAGTCTGCAAAATAGTGATACGCATTGTTAACTGCAACACTGGCATCCATTAAACCTGTTACAGATGTATTATAATTTGTCACAAAGACAAATCCTACTCTCAGTGGTGCAGAATGCGCATAAAGAGATTGCGCTAAAGATATCAATGGGATAGAATCTTCGCTTAGAGGATCAACAATTAATACCTAAAAAAGACAAAATCATATATTATTTATTCTATACGCAATATAATATACACAAAATATTAATTAATTTCCGTTTAATAATACTAACTAGATTATACAAATTTCTTCTAATATTTCTGAGCATGCCAGGAAATGTCGGCCGTAATAATTCGGTTAATGATGGTGACCAATTACTATAACGTGAGTCATTTTCAATATCATTGATCCAATTAATTGCGGAATCTCTTATATCCATAGCAAAATTTTGATTATCTGTACTTCCAGATAAGTCCAAAGCTAATAGTTTGCTCATTTTTTTATTACTAAAACCTAAAATAATTTATACAAATGTAGTCTCTGAATATATATAATCTAACAAATATAACCTAGTACAAGATTGCTGATCTATATATATTTTCAAATTATATACCAATCTTATGAAGAGCTTCCATCACTCGTAGCTCGCTCCTCAAAGATTCTAAAAGGGTTAGAACGTCAATAGCCTCCAGATCAAAAATAAACCATTGATGAAAAGCGCTGTATCAGTTGGTTGTATATTTAGACTTGCCATGAATATTTCCTGATTCAATTTCATTTCTTTCTTCATATCGCTATCCACTTTAGTTCTAATTAATGATTTTGCCTACAAAATAAAAATAAAGCAACAATTACTGATGTTTCATTATAATATAAAAAAAGCAATTTTTTTCATTTGACAGAATTAATGTCTGTCCGAGTAGCCACAAAATTCATTTTTTAATACGCACTTGCATAGGAAAATTTTGCGATATATCAGTCAAGATGTTTAATGCTTCTATAGAAGGAGACTTCATTATCCTCTCGGCTGCCTGATGACTCAGTTCTTGAAATTGCCATACTTTGAAAGCTCCGATTTCGTGACTGGTTTCCAATAAATATGTCTGTATTTTATCCAATTCAGCCTGCAGATCTGGATATAATTTTCTGGAAAGATAATGTATTACATAGTGATGCAATGTTGCGCAGAGATGAATAAACTGAATACCTTACGTTTTTACTAACCACCTTACTTTAAAGTCATAAAGTTGATCCCTTCGATTTCTTCCATGCCATCATTTGCCACTTCAGAGTTTTTTCCTGCATTGTCTTTGATATCAGAATCGTCAGTCGCTTTGTACTCTGTAGATTTCATTTGCAATTCTACGCCATAACCCGATAAACGCAATCTTTTGTCTTCCCTTTCCTATAAATTATTTTAAATATGAGAAATACTATTTCTTGCATAACAATACATATTTAGTTTTTAACATATTTCTACCTTCACATAGTGACGAAGGATATAGTTGATTCCTTTTGTTTCCGCTATATTTTTCAATTTCTCATGGAAATCAGTGAACATAGGAGTCCCAATCTGACCATATAATATGATTACTTTATCAGATTCTAGAGTACTTAAGTATCGATGATCTACATCATAGGTATCTATAGCTTCCCATGTATCCTAGAAAATAAATTATATATAGCTTATATCAATAAACATAAAACTAGAGATAAAATAAAATAAATTATCAAATAAATTACCTGCTCAAGCAATTTATCTATATCTTCTAAAGAACAGGTAAATGTTCCACCAACGTTAACAACATTATTGCATTCGTATAAAGAAACATTTTTATTCACAGCCATTTGAGAGAACATTTCCACACGTGCGGAATAAATACGTAAGGACAATCCTAACTTAAAGACGGCTATCTCAGATTCGGAAAGATACTTTCTAGCTAATTCCAAAATTACATCATAATTCTCTTTCTGTGTAGCTGTTCGAAATAATTACAAAAATCAAATATAATCAACTTACAAGTGTTTCAAAAAATCAAATCACATTATAATTATTACCTAGTACAAGATTGCTGATCCTTTTAGAATACGAATCAATAAATTTCCAAAAGTAACTTGGATTTTCATCATTGAGATATTCAGCTGCCTCAAGAACAAGAGGTGTTTCGTTCCATTTGGCGTCTATTAAAGTTGTCACATATTTATTGATCTTTTTATCCGCTCCAAGTTGACTGGAGCATAACGAGAATATATAAAAAAATACAAGGACCCTCATCTGCAACAAACAAAGAAAAAATCGTCAAGTACACTTGTCAACAAAACATTATTACAAGGCTTCATCAGTCAATAGAATTTTAGTAGAGATGTGTCTCTGAAAGAGTGGCCAAGTGTCTCATAGACAAAACTTTATGAATTTTCATTGAGACTCGCTAAGAATCACATCTTGATAAGATGAACAATAAAGATGCCGGATGATATCTATACGTGCAGCGTTTAATGATCACAGATAGGAGGAGATTTCACAAAATTTTCGATCTCGTCAACCACCACAGAAACAAGAGACGTCACATACCTTCGTAAGAGAATTAAAATTATCTTAATTATCTTAACTATGAAGAATGCATTAATGACTACAACCGAACCGTGCGGCGCGAGTGCCACATGCACAGTACTCCGGAACGGCGATTGTGCTTTACGACACGAGCTATTATCATGCGGCGTGTTTGGGATGACGTATCGTCGCCGACGATGACAATTGGCGGCACTCGAGCCGTCATTTAGAGCCTGTGAGCATTTTTACGGGATGACGCGACCAAGCGACGACGCGACTCTGGATTGGTTGGAATCCGAGATCCGTCCATTCCGACTGCGTCCATTGGTTAATACGAGTATCACCGATTGTCTCATTGCGCAGGATCCGATAGCGAAATAAATTTTATTCACATTTCTTCATAAAATAATTTTACGATTCAATCCTTTCAATAAACAAAAAAAATTTCGTCGCGAAATTATATTATTTTATTTGCAAAATCAGAGTAGCGTTTGAGTAGCGTAAGAAATTCGAGTTTAAACATCTCAAAAATAAATTCCCGGTAAAAAATTTTCTTTATAGATAATCATATATAAAATATATAATTCCACGTATAAAAATATATAATTACATATAATTATATTTTATTATATCTAATTATATATGGAAAAGGATTTATTGGATCAATAATGAAAATAAAAACTTATGTAAAAGATTCTTCTAAGAAATAATTGTGTGTAATATTTATAGAATTTATAGAATTGTGTGTAATATTTATAGAATTTTTAAGACAAATTTCATTACAGATTACTCTGAATAAAAATATCTTTAATAAAATAGTTATTAATATTTAAAAGATATTATTTGGGATCGATGAAAGGATAAATGTATACGAGCCGCATAATATATGCAACGTACAATCTATTTATTATTTACAACAACGTAGCAATGTTACGTAAAATCGTACCACATCGCGATTCTTCTAATGACAGGTCGCTTATCACACTGCTTTAAAAAAATGGCGCGCGGTCGTGCTGCGGCTGCGCCGTTCCGGGCCAATCAACGACTGCCAAATGAAACCGAACAGATCGCGTCATCGGTGATACGAAATGCAACGGGAATCGTCGCGTAAACGCGTCCGTTCTCGCGAATCTCACCGACTGTTCGGATCGGACAATGATAAGTAAAGTGTGGTAAGTAATCTTTTGATAAGTAATCTTAGTGAGATCTAAAGCTCAAAACGCGAAATTCAACGCGAATGTTCTACTGTGTGTATATTTTACGTGTATGCTTGTTTTATAGCTGCGTTCGAGACCTCCACCTTCTTCAATCGTCCGACTTCAGGAGGATTCGATTACATCGGGCAACGGGATCTGAGCGTTAGGCGCCTACAAACGTGAGTTTCTCTTTCTCTAAATTATTTATTGTATTAATTATATATTATATTATATTGATTTTGAGCGTCGAAACTGGAATCGATCTGCATCGATCCGAGTCGCGTAAATCGATTACACGATATACAAATGGCGATGGCGACGCGATGGCAACGCGCGAGATTCGGGATTTTTACAATATGTATCGAATTACGCGGTTTTCAAAAGCAGTCATAGTACCGCGTAGATATATATATTTTATGAATATAATTCATGAGGGAATAAATCACGGAATCTAAGGAATTTCCCGAATTTGGAACAAATTATTTCTGAAAAAGATAGGAAATAGAGTTCATCAAATTTTAAGTATTTAAAGATCTTTGAAAATTAAATTTTATAAATACGCGATTGGATCTTACTTTATACAAAATCTTATCTAATTTCGAAAATATTTAACGTCAGATATTCGTATTTTTTCTCTTCCACATTAATCTTTATACAGTATCTCTTTATAAATCTTTTTTAATCAACAAATTGCTAAAATTGACTTCAAATTCGCCGCAAAACTTTCAAAATATATGGCAATTTCAGTAGAAACTCCGTATAAATGAATATTAATACAAAATGTATAGATAATTAATATTGCATAATAATAGCACAAATAGTATTTCGCATAGAACTTTTTTTGCAAAATTAAAACAATCTTTAATAAAAAGGTGCCAAAACGAAAAATAATATAATCATAATTTTTGCAAAATTATCTTGCTAAAATCCATTCGTAAATCATGATTGATTCGTTTATGCATTCGATAATGTTTTATAGGGTTTTCGGGGATATTGTTATTGGGGATCCATTCAGAATATGTGATATTTATATGAACTTTCGTAAACGAATAATCGGTCTCATAGCGGTTTCGCCAAGAAGATAACGCCAAGAGATAACGTCGACTCCCTTGATTTCCGTTGCATTTTCGTATTCGGTTCGTTCTATTCGTCGTGGCGGCAATTCTTTTCGCCTGTTACAATGTGAATTTTATTGACATGTACGTGTGGCGAACGCCCCATCACATATAGAGATACTTACGTGTCGCGTATATATACACACACAGAGAGAGAGACAATCATGCACTCACGCCGCGTGTGTTGTGTGCGTGTAAATTCCGTGTGAGATTGTGTATACGTGTGTATTATACAATACGTGTGTATGTATACACGTGTCATGGCGTAGCACGTTCAACGTGACGCGAAAACAGAAATTAATTAACGTTACAATCCCATTGTACCATTTCGCTCTATGCTAAAACGTCTATAATGTTATCCCGCAGTTTCTATGAAATACTCTCAGGAATAAACGAGCGATGTTCGAGTCGTTTTAAACGGAAAGGGCGGAAGTCGTGCCGCCGCGATCGAGTTAGGCAAGGCTTACGTATCCGATTTATCGTTCGGGAGATCCTGAGATTTTATTTAACACTTGCAGGATGAAAATCAAACCACGATCACCGCGTCCAAGATCCAAACATGCGCCTCTATAGTTTAGAATTGATTCGAGTTATTAACTAACTTTGTACATTTCATTTTCTCGTTATTCTCACGTCGCCGACTCTTCCCAGATCGATAATTACATACTCGTTTTTTTACATTCTCGATAGTAGTACACATTCGTCAATGTAACACTCTCTTTCCTCGTCGCAACTAAAACGAAATTTTATATGTAGGAACAAAGTTATGTATGTATATGTATATGTGTATAGAATATATCCTCAGACGTTATATTTCGGAATCAACGGTAAAACATTTCGTGCTCAAATGACTGATACCTCGAGGAAAAGTCACCCAGGAGGAGCGATCCTCTTGCTTGGAGTACGGCGATTACACCTCTCTAATTTCCTAACGATCGCAACAGCAACTAATGAACGCCGTATTCGTTCGCGTCTGAACGCTAAATCTCGCCCGCGAGAACAAAAATTTTGTGTTGTAACATTAACATTTATATTAATATAACCGCACGTCCTTCTTGGTTTATCGTCGCGTTTTGTTGCCACACGAGAACGACGGTGCGCGTGTTTCGCATTTCACTCCTCGCATGGACAGCCGAAAGGGTGGACGGATAGCTGCCGCGGCGTTTTCGGGGGATGAGTTTTTTTCATCTTTTTTTTCTATTAACTTTAAAACGAGAGTGGACGAGTTTTACCCTCCGATTACAAAGCGAACCCTGTCTCACTATGTATCTGGCATTACACCAGCCGAAAATACTATGTACACTATTGCGATCTACGCGATTTAAGGAGGATCACGAGCCGTCAAGCTCGACTATTGACTCGAGTAGAGATAGGCAGTCGTAGAATACTCGCAATCTTGATTACTGCAAATATAAATTTAAATTGGACAGGAATAAAAATTGTTAAAGTTGCAGTTTCGTAGCGCGAAAAGCATAAGAGCGATACGATAAGGTTTGCGAAAGTGCGAGAGAAGAAAACCGCCCGCGACTTGTCCGAGCACTTGCGTTGCGGCTCGAAAAAAATGAAAAAAATAATTAAAAAATAATTAACAGTCACGAATTAAAGAACACGCGCGCAATTTCTATCTCACGCCGCGCAACAACGCCGTTGTATATTCGCAAGGTAGAGTTGCATTTAACAATTAAAACATTAATCGCACGGGACATTTAAATGCGTTAGTTAGGGAATTGCGATAAGAAGGCCAACTACTGCTAGGAGATTGCGATAAGAATACTAACTAAACAGCCCTCTGTTTCATTTTGAATTAATTAAATTAAGTGCGCACACGGTTCCCCCCCCCCCCCCGGAGAGATAGCGAATCGTGATCTTCCTTTATGCACACGTTGCTCCAGATGCGTGTGCCTCCTCGTGCCGCATATCCCGATCGTATGCACACAGTATATGTAAATTCATAGCCATATATGCATATATACTTAGTTCGTACGCGCGTGCACACCTATGTACACATAACGATTTTAATTGCACAGAGAGAGCGCGCGCACCTACATTCACACACAGACACGCATTTCTGCGCGCGCGCGCACACACACAAAACACACACACACACACACACACACATACACACACGCGCGTGTACACGCACGCACAGACAGTATATATATATACAACGTGTATATATAAAAGTAACTTTTTCGTAACATACAATAAATTTTTGTTTGGCACATCTCACCAGCAATCTGATCCACCTAGAATCACACCTAATATACGCGCATCACATATATAAATACATAAATATGTATATGTGTATATATATATATATATATATATATTTATGTACCTATATATTAACTTGTATTAATTTTTAATGTTCACCGGATGCAACGGCACACTGGGATAACATCGGTCCAGATGCACTCGGCTTCGTCACAGGCTCGAACTTCGAGGATCAAGATGAAATGTATTTAATCTCGTTACTTTAAGAAGCTCAGGAATTTATACTTGTATCCGATTAAAATACAAGAGCGTACTTCGCTACTAATACCGCTCTGATAAATTTATGAAGGTATCAACGTTATCAAGTTATTACAGCATACAGGGGAGGAGAACGAGTATTACATTTGAGAAAGTATCCGAGTAACTTATGAGTGCATCTACACCGACGGTATTAATTCCATATCGCGCAAATCTCGGTCGAAATACCGGTGGTACGTATTTATATGTATACTATATATTATATATATATATATAATATATATATATATAATATATGTATATATGTCTATCTACATTTAGATGTACTTTCCGCATAGTCAATTTTAGTGCGTTGTCGACTCTCTACCTATTTCTAGAAAATTATAAGAGGAACGCGATTAATTTGCATTATTTATACATACATATATAAGTTTTATGCCGTTAAGTGCGTTATGCCGCGCCGAACGAAGAGCAAGCTTGGCAGGCGCATGCATCTGCGTGGGAATCGCACTCTCTCGAGCTCGCAATGTCCTTCCAAATTCCACCGATAGATCCTTAAAATTTTCCCTTCGATTTTAAGCTTTATCAATCTCTTTGCCTTTTACAAGCGAATTATCGCAGATATATGACGCGTGTTTCCTTGGAAATCGCATGAATTGGAATTTACAAGAATCACATAGAATTCTCTAAAATTGACTCTATCTCACGACACCTCGAGGATCTTTTTGTGAAAGAGAAGAGGAAGAGAGAATTGCGATAATATTCGACAAGAGCGCGACTCCGTGGACCCATTCAGAAAATCCGGCGCGTAGTCGGAATTAGATCGTCGTTAAAGACTTTTTCGTTTATGTCTGTTCTCTCTTTGTTTAAATAATATATATATATATCCATGAACAAGGCACTCTCTGCTTGACAGAAGGGTTTTTTTGCCGGATCCTTCGTTCTTGCGCGTTAACCGCGTACTAGCGAATAAAAAGTCTCTACAGCCATATCGAGCTTTCATTTCCGTTTTGGACCATCTCCTTCCTCGAAAACGTCGAGTAAAAAATGGTCGGGGTACACTTTAGAATATTTCGATAGGAGTTCTCGCACGTTCCGGATTTCGTTGCATCGAAAAACTCCGGAATTAGGCTCTAAACTGGACAGATCCTCCTTATAAAGCTGTTTTTTTTCTTTTCTTTTTTTTTTTACTAAAACCAATGACAATTTTCTTTATTCTTCATCTTTTTCGCCTTTCAAAAGTTGCATACTTGAAGTTTACTATACTTTCGAGAGGACATCGTTCGATTTGATTAATAGAAGATTTAGATTTTTAATATCATTATATTATGCAGAGTAGAGCGAAATGAAATGGCATCTGCTATTGTCATGCTTTCAAATTTTTCCTGCGCTTTATTTTTCATCGTACTTTTTACATTTTATTTGCCAGAAAAAGTTGTAAAAATGGAACAGACAATTTGAAAATTAGAAAGCTATTTAGCAGGTGCCATCACTGTATCCGCTTATACAAAGTAGAACTAGAAATTTCTATTCCCGTTCAGATGCATAATTAATTTTGACTAATTAAGATCTAATAGCAATAGTATACAAAGTCATCTTAAGACGAGCACCACGTCAGAAAAATATCTGTTTAAGTTTATCGACATTTTTCCTACTAGGCAAATTATTGACGAGATTTCAATTATCAATTTATTTGATTTTAGAAGCAACTCAAGAAGGAATGCTCGTACCGAATGAAGACAAATGTATTGTTATTACAAATTACTCGAACGATTTAATCCTTTCAGTACCCACTTACATAATAATATTTTTCAATATAATTCAATGAATAATTCTTTTTCCATTTATTTTCTTAGCGTCTTACTAAAGAAAGCAAATTACATTGAACTACACAAGATAATCTAAAAATAGTGAAATAATTGATTTAAAAAAAGATAAATAAAAGAATAAAATTTTGTTTCACAAATATCTATAACATTGCAGATGCAAGATTACAAGAAGAAAAATTCCAAATTGACTGCAAATTAATATCTAAAAATTTTTAGCATTTATAATATTTTATCAAAACTGTAATTCTTCTTCTTTTTTTTTTATTAAATGAGATATTATTAAAAGTTATGCATTCAATACGATGCATATGTTTAACATGGTATCGAAAGGATTAAGCCGAAATGCAATATTATTTGAGCATCTTCTTACGGTACGAACACGAGTCAGTGCCAAAGAGAATCTCGCCCACAGGCAGATCGACGTGCGTTATAAGGGGAAGCACTTGGTTCGTTTCTGGGCAACGACTGATCGGCAGTCGACCTTGGACCCGAGGGTGAAATTCTCTGGCTTGACGGTCTCCTCAACGGAGATTTTGCCGAGTCGCTTCTTAACGCGGAACGGCGTTGACCGGGGCGATATGATCTCGTAGAGATCGCTAGTCCGTCCTTGGACATCTTCTCTGGAATTCTTGATCCTCTGATCGATGGGAATGGCAATGTCCACCTCGGCACAATGATTCTGGCTGGATTTTTTCGATAGTTCCTTGTCAGCTAACTCGTCAATCGAATCCTTCTTGTTGATCTCCTCGGACGGAGAATTGAAGACGCTCGAGGAATAGCTCTTGGAATCGCAAATTAACGTCATGTCGGGATAATCGTCGGTCTCCTCGGTTTCGGACGGTAGGTCCCTCGTAGATGCCAAAGAGATCGCTCTAGCTTCTGGCTTCTGAGGCTTCTCCTCGTCGGCGTAGTCCAACGACAGACACCGCTTCTCGAACAGAGCTGGCCCGGATGATTTCTGATTGGTCTTAATGATCTCGCTGTTTTCTCCGCTCTCTTTATCCTCCCGAGTCGGCATACCTTTATTCTCCACTGTAGTCTCCAGTGAGTTAATCATCCTTGATGGACGACGCACGCTGTTCTCCCGTTCCACCGAGAGGCAGAATTCTTTGTCCGTTAGCAAAATACGTTTTGGCATTCGCACCGGCTTCTGATCGAGATCCAGATCCTTTTCCCAGGACGGAGCCTTCAACAAGCTCTTCACCTTGCGCAGTTCCGTCAAGAGATCCATAGTCTCCTGCGATGGCTCATGAAAGATCCGCCTCTTTGGCCGTCTAATGGACGCGTTCGTGTCTGATTCCTGATCAGAATGATCGATACCCTCCTGCTTTCTCAGAATGGATCTCACCGTGCCCTCTTGGCTCTGTTCTCGCTTATCAATGGCAGTTGTTTCGTTCGCGTTTGTATCAACCAATGTAATGTCTTCTGTTTTAGGTGTGCTTTTCGCCGACGTAGTTAGATCGAGATCCCCTGGTAAAAGATTCAGTCTTTCTTGTCGACTTATCGCTCCCTGAGCTGCTCGAGTGCGCCGTTTGAAAGCTGCGTAACTTTCCGTAGGTATCTCCTGCAGCTTAAATTTGTCCTGCAGTTGCTTGAACGTTTCTCTCGTGTACTCTCGACGAATCGCCAGCGAGTCCTCTGATGAGATTTCTCGCGTTTTCCCAATACTGTCGTTCATATTCCGAGAGGCAGCGACGAATGAAAGAGCGTCCTTCGCCAGGAGATTATCCGAGGAGATGCCCCGCCTTTCGAACTGATTGTACTTGATTGACCTGCGCGTGTTTTCGACCGTCCTGATTTCCTCGATGATCGATTTTCTGGTCTTCGTCGGAGAAAACGTTTTTCCTCTTTCCTGAACGTTGTTTCTAGACTCGATTTCGCGATCAGGAGAGACGTTCGAGATGGGTCTCTTGGTGGGTGAATTCGGCGTGCTGTCGTCGCTACGAACGACCTCGTGGGAATCCTGAAAAATTCTGCGACGCATCATAGTGGCCGAGTCCTTCTTCATTCGTTGTCCTCTCCGCGGTGAGTTGTTCCAGCTGTTGGTTGTTTCGCCTGGCGAGTTCAAGCACGTGGTGGAGGAGGATATGATCTCCTCACTTGTCGTCACTCGGCACTTCAACAATTCGGTGGTCACGCTGGTCGGTCGCTTCGTCAACTCCGGTCGCGAATCCGTTCGTTCGTCGCTGTTATCCGTTGGCAACGAGCTCGGGCCTGAATCCAAGACGTCGTCCAGAGACATGTTGTGTAACGCGTTTCGTTCCTTCGATGGCACAGTGGACTCCAAGTCCTCCGTCTCGAAGGAATACATTTTCAGCAAAAACTCTTTGCCCGAACGTCTTCTCTCGAAGGTTGTCGTCGCAGTTTGTTGAGTTTGCATCTCCGCAAGCTTGCGTGGCTCTTCTTCTTCTTCACGGGAAATAACGGGCGTTACGTCCAGCGTTTCAATAGCGTTCTCAACGTCCTCCTTAATGACGGTCTGCTCGAGCTCATGCCTAATGTTATTCTTTCCGTCGTAATTCTTCACCACGTCGTTCGTTCTTCTAATTTCGTTTTTACGTTCGTTGCGCGGCGTGTCAAAAGTGAATTTGTCCAGAGTCTTGGACGAGCCGATCTTGTCCAGGAACGGTCTCTCGACTGCTTTACTAGGCCCGATCTTCTCGAGGTAAGGCTTGCCGATGATTCTCGGTGTAAGCTTCGCCAGGAACGGCCGGTCCTCCGTCTTCGAAATACCGATCTTTCTGAGGAATGGCCTTTTCTTTTCCTTGTCTTTCTCCTTGACGTTTGTCTCGAACGAGCGGTCGCTCAGCCGATCGTTACTGTAATTCGATGAATTATCGCTGCTTTTGGAGCGAGCCCGCTTGCTGCGCGTCGCGTACGGCGTGAGCGGCGTTCTCGGTGTTCTCGGGGTAAGAGACGGACTGGGTTCCACATTCGGGCAAGTTTCATCCAGCAGTGCCATCGCAGTTTTCAGATCCATGCAAGCTTTCCGCGGCACCGGTATCGATGGCTTGGGGAATTCACTCTCAATGCTGCTGTTCCTCGTTGAATTTAGATCCGATCTGCCATCCCTGCCATCGGTGTACGAGTACGAGGGGTACGAGCTCCGATCGCCCACCGGCCCCGGAGAGGTGTCGACCGTCGGATGATCCTCCAGGTACCAGGGTGTCACGCCGAGGTCCTCCGGTCTCGTGGCGGGACTCTGTGGCGCGGTTGTGCTCTTGCTGACAGCGCCTTTGCCGCCACTCGTCTGCTGTGTCTGCTGCTGTTGCTGTTGTTCCTGCAGGCTCTGCTCTGTGCCGCTCGACGATGGTACCGTTCCGTCGCTGACCGACACCTCGTTCGACGTGCGACTGAGAAGCGGCCTTCGATATCTGGAACAGGTAGCAAAATGTGGCGGCGCCGGTCTCGCGGTCTCCACGACGATGCGTCCCTGGGCACAAGGCACCACCGGTTCCCCATCCGCCGGTGCCTCCTCCGGGGTCAACGGCAGCGCTGCCCCGCGACCGAATTCGATGAACCACAGCTCGTCCCTCAACTCGCATTCTCACTTCTTTTCGTTCATATCCTTATTCAAATAGTGCAGTACGTAGTGAAGGACCAAGTCGTAGCAGTACTTATATTCTGTCTGTAAAAAGATTTTATCTGGATCAAAGTAATTTTTAATAAAAAATACGTTGTTACATTGTACGAAAGATATTATTTTATAACGGAGAGAAATAATATTTTAGATAACATTATATTGCAATTTTTTTGTCACGATTTAAAGAAACATTGTATATACCATGTTTTCCACAAGCTGGGGTCTATGCCTGCGCACAGTTTTGACAGCTTGGAAAATGTCAACCTCCCCGTGTTGAATAACCTGTTCTATGCATGCATTGGCGGCACAATAGACTCCACAACGACTTCTGCCATCGGGCGAGACCACAGCTACCGGTCCATAGTCCGTTCGTTGCCTCCATCTCTCAACCATATTCATGAGCTCTACTAAACTATTCGTAGAGGTGGGCACTTTGTGGCCCATTGGCCAACAGGTCAATTGGAACAATTGCACGGTCTTCGGCGGTGCTTTCACTCCTGCCATCAATTCCGTCAGCGAGACGATTTTTTTATTTATCCTAAAAACCTGAGGAATCCAGTTTTCGTTGAAAGCAATTCAAAGTAAAAAGATTATCTTTGTTATTTTATATATATATATATATATATATATATATATATATATATATATATATACACACACATACACTTTTTTAAAATATTTCAATAAAACTACGATTTTTGGAATCATTTAATAAGAAAATTTCAAACCTTCGATATTTTTACATTACGAGGATTAGAAGATTGATACTTACCCAGGTTTTTATATTGGTATAATGATTGTGGCTGATGTGATCAATCGTAAACACGGGTCCGTATTTCTTTGAATGCCTTCCTTCCGGCCAAAAGCTGGGGAAATTTGTGGATCCCTGAGGGGGTACGCATAGAACTACCACCGCCGCGCATTCGTAGTCATAAACTAAAGACCAGAATTCACCGCACGTATGCCGAAGGGGCCATTCCGTTACGATGTATTCTCTTGGTTTCGTATAGCCCTGCATGGTACAGCAGTGGATGAATGTTTTCGGGAAAAACTTGGCAACGATTGCCAAACATAACGTGTGAAGTGTAACATATACATCGATCCGTAAAGTTTTCCATTTCCATATTTTTCACATTTATCAATCTTAAGTCGAAATTTTATTTTTACATCAATGAATTTAGAGGTAAATTTTTGTGATATGACGATTCATTCTCGTTTTAATTATCACAAAATATCTATTAATATAAATTAAAAATTCAGATTTTATAGTGATGCAAAAGAGGTTAAATGAATTAGCGGGGTGATTTATTTTACTGACTTACGTCCACAAAGACGGCGTTGATGTAATCTGTAAAACTGTTGCCCTGAAAGCTCGTGAGGTATGGTCGAAAGTTGTCCGCTGTAACAAAGGGAGAGATTGATTTTCACAGTGTGGAAAGCTATTTGTCGAAGCTGCCGGTCGCGCTAGTTGAAACAAGCAAGTTGAAACTCACGTGGAACTACCAGAACGTCTCTATTCTTCTCCCTGTTATCGGCCCTGTGTCCACCAGCGCAATCGCCGATCGTGAAACGCGGCGTCTGCTTACAAATCTGCTGATACTCTCGCTGATATTCGTTCATTTTAGTTATGGGGTTTTTTATGCTTTTCTGCTTCAGACGTTGCGATAATTCCGCCACGGGAAACCACGATGTACCACACACGACAAATTCCTCGAGTGTGTCGTACACGAATTTGTACTGTTCCTATGTGTGAACGAACGCGTGTACCAAAATATAAGTTACCAAAGTTACCGAAATGTTATTAATTAAGTTAATTTTCAAAAGCAAAATGTCAGAAAAAAAATAATAATGGAGAATTTATTTTTTGTGGTGAATTATTATTAAAATAATTCCTGAAAAATATAAAAATTTTTCCTTTTACCAATTTTAAATTTTAAAAAATTTATAATCGACAAATTGCTTTTTTTACAGTACTTAATTAGTGTTATACCAAATTTTCTATAAGCCCTCTCCTGCTCTGTCTTAGCTTCTTCAAGTAGCCAAACACGTCAAACGCATCCTCCTCTTCGGCCAGTTCCATATTCGCGTCGATCGCTAAATATACCCCCGATCGTCCACCACCATCGCTTTGTGTCACAAACAAACAAATTTATTAACTCATTCGACACGAGAACAGCGCGCTGCTCGAGTTTACATAAATAATCGCAACTCGCAAAATAGGTGTTCTTACTTGCAGTGAACGACCATAGGACCGGATTCGTTCTTTATGGTTGATCCCACCACGGCTCGAACACGTCGTCTAAATTCTAGCACCGCATTTCCAAAGGGACATGTGTGTGAATGCCATTCTGTGTAATGAAATTGCAACAACGTTCTTTCTTCTGTAATCTCCTGAAAAAACGCATTCGCCACAACGTTACAATAATCGTTTTTTTTTTATCATAACAATTGTTTTATTTTTTTTTATTTGTATCGTATTTGTCGTACTTCGTCATCGTTTTCTACATTCCTCATCGCGCCGCCGTGCTCGAAACGCATAAAATTAAATGAATCAATATTTATACGTTGGTGTTGGAACGAAAAAAAAAAATCGCTCTCTCTAATAAATTGAAGTGAAACAACGAATACACTGGTCGCGGGATCAACTTGCGTCTCCGATAGATTATTTTCCCGGGGGTAAGATTTCTCTCCTCCGGTATTGTTATTCCAACAATGCTGCATTAAGCTCGAAAATTGCGGTCGCATCTTGCGCTGCCGGACCGCATTGTACGTCGCTCTGTAACGTCTCAGCTCGCGCTTTGCTATTCCCGGAATGGGGTTACGAGGCTCCCCTTTTCTATATTAAATTTCATTCGGTCCGTATATTTCGAAAGTAATTATTATCTTGTCTACTGTTCAACAGAATCGTACATGCGATAGTTTCATACGGTTCGTTAATAATCTCACATCGAAAAGTCCTGAAGGCGAGACAGACGACAGACTAACGAGATGTCGCACGAGGTCTGTTTTATCCAAATTATTTCTTAACAATGATGACATCGCGAACGAACGGATTTATGGTCTATCTATACCTTTAGAGAATCAATATGTTATGTATTTAATAAAAATGTAACGAGAAAATATAGTTAGACGTTAATGCGAATTTTAACTTTGAGATTTTCTTTCTCTAATTTATATTAACATAATTATACAATTATATTGTATTGCGTCTTCCTCGCAACTGATCTAGTTTCTTGTAAATTTTATTTAATGTCTTTCTAAAATAATCTTTTTAAAATATGCAACTGTAAAGCAGCAAACTATACACCATGTATACCACAAAGTAAAACATTTCGTTACAAAAGAATACACGTGGAAGAATAAAGATCTCTTTCTGCCATGACAGTACAGTTGAATAGAATATATACGGGAGTTTAGACGGAGACGTTAATGCGATGGAACAGCTTTAAAGTCTGAGAGGACTCTCTTCAGATAACGAAAAAAGGTTGAACGAGGAAAGGACTAGGTAAGTAACGATGCCAGTGGTGGAATCAGATCACAAAGTGCGCGCGGTTCGGAAGAGCTTTAGAAAGTCTCCGCAATTGTTCGTTCTTCCTCGTTCTCGCAGATAAAAAACTGCAATTAAATTAGCCGTTTGCGTAATAGCTCCTTGCGCAAACTTATCCTCATCCGTATCGCGAGTTCGTATCACATTTCGCATTCGGCCGGCGTTTAAATGACAAAGCTGATACGATCTATCTATATACGATTAAATTTAGCTAACTTTCTCGCCAGCTTTGCCCTCTTTACTCTTTTCGTCGTTCTTCGTTTCCCTCATTCCCCGCGCTTCGAGATCTCCCTGTTTCGCTATGATTGGGACAAACTTCGAATAGACATCGAATGCGTCGCAAGACCGATTACTGTGTTATCCAATCGTAGTCAAGTTACGAGTGTTTCACAAACAGAATTTTTTTTTTTTTTTTAGTTGAAAGAAGAAGAATCGCGTCCATCCGTGGATTATCCGGATAATCTCTTTGATGTGACGTCCGTCGCAAACTCCCTCCTGATTTATTCAAGCCTCAATATACACGAATATTCGAACGACATCGCGATGGATTTGCGTCACTTTGTTACAGATGACAAATGGCGCATATATCGCGAATTTTTCAACTTTACACAACATTCAGGTCCCGAATGCTCGAGCTGCTGAATTGTCAATCGATTGGCGCGAATATTTGCGTGTGTATTTGCGCTTTCTCGCCAATATCGAATATATTTATTTTTTCTATATTCGTTATTTAGTCGCCGCATATGCCGAAAGTTATTAATCTGGCGTAGTTAAAAAAAAAAAGAGGTACGCGTCCTGCTTTTATTCCACGCATGTCCTATACATAAGTTTACATTACGAGTAGATTGATAACAAGTACTTACGTTGTTCTCGTTCTTTTTGTACAGTCTTATCGTTCTTATGTGAAAATTCGCGAGTTCCTCTTCTTTCAACACAGAAACGCCGATACCACCGTATTCCTCGTCTTTCTCTTTACTCGCCGGCCAATATTGTACACACATCACCTGAAAAGAAAAAGTTGTGGCTGAAAAGCTGCAGAACATAAAGAATTTATATAACGGACTCTAAAGCCCTCTTAAAGCTGACATGAAGACTAGCGGTCAACGTTATCGCGCGATAAAGACCGTTTTTTTTTTACGACGTGGCAACTTTAATGGACACTATTTCCGAGCTCCGTTTCTCATTTTTTTTTCTCTTTCTTTATATGAAAGTGGTCTCGCTTCAAATGGTCTTTTACCCTGATGAAGTCAAAGGTTTTCGTGAGCATAACGATGCAGGAAGCTTGCTCTTGCCAGACCATCCGCCAGAATTCTGTCACTGTGTTCTCCATAGGTCCCTGAGTGACGATGTAAGCGTTCGGTTTCAGTATACTCTGAAACGCAATATTAATATCGACGCTGTAATTCGACGCATC